CTTGTGATTTCTTCTTTGACCTATGGGTTATTTAGAAGTCTGTGTCTTCATTTCCAATATATGGACATTTTCTAGTTACCTTTTTTATTAATGACTTCTAGCTAAATTTTGGTGTGGTTTATAGAAGACAGTACAATTTCAGTCCTTTGAAATATAGTGAGGCTTTCTTTAGATCCTTTTCTAATATTGTTTGCTTTAAAAAGTGAAGTTGTCAAATATAGTATTCTATGTTTCTACAAGATGAAATTTATTATATTATTCAGGTCATCTATGCCTGAATTGATATTTTTGTCTGCTTGTTCTATCAATTTACTAAGATTAAAGTCTCCTACAGAGATTATTGATCTACTATTTCTTTTTGGAGTATGGTTTTGGTTTAAATATGTTGAGACTATGTTTATAGGTGTATGCAAATAAAGATTTTTTTATCTTCCAAATGAATTGAACCTTTTGGCATTATGAAATGACTGCTTTATCTCTAATAATGCTTTTTGCCCCCTGACTACTTCTTTTTCTTTGGTTAATATATTGACATCAGCTTTCTTTTGGTTAGTGTTTGTCCTCTATTTCATTCCTCCTTTTATTCTCTGTATCCCTATATTTGAGAATATAGTTGGGTGGTGGTGTTTTTTAATCCCAATCATCTTTGTCTTTTAATTGAACTACATAGTCCATTTACAATCAGTGTGATTACTTTTTGCTTTCTGTCTATCCTATGTTCTTTTTTTCTCTTATCCTCTTTTTGACTGATTATTTTTTCCCTCTCTGTTAGCTTGGTGGTTATATGCACTTCATTCCTGTAGTGGTTACCCTAGTGGCATATTTTCTTATCAAAATCAGATGTTATTTGGCACTTTGATCTCACATACAGTGAAAGAACTTGGAAACACTAATAATTCTATTAGAATTTCTATTTGTCTTGTTTTCATGGTGGGATAAACCATAATCAATGAAATTATTATAGTCTATGTAGGACATTAATTAGAACTGTGGTATAGTTGGTTAAGTCAGAAGCTAAACTTTTGGAAGAATGTAGGATGACATGGTTACCCTGTCACTTATTTGGCATTATCCCTACATGCACATGGTTTACTGGTATAACATTGACACTCACCTCTGACTCTGAGTAGGCAGTCCCTGAGAGCTATTTCCTAGGCACTGGCAAAAAGTCGTGTTTGTGGTTACTAATCTGCCCTTGTACTAACTCACTGTTGGCAACTCTAATCTGTAAGGTACCTACTTGTGTATACTTAACATATCCCATGTAGTTTGCTTTTACTTCCATTTTATTTTCTCTTAATCACACTTGATATTTGAAAAATTGTCAAAAAAGTATATCTTTTTACCAGTGATATTTTTGGTCAGCATTAATTTAATTAATAGAGGATAACTGTAGGCCAGTAGTACATTGTATCATCTGATACCACTTGAGGTAATGTGAAGGAAGTACTGTGTGATTCAGTCATTGCTGAATGCTCTCTGGAAATATGTTCTGATTACCCATGACCAAGTACCAATGAAAAAGAACAGTTACGCCTCCATGTTCTGAAGCACGCCAAGGTGCCACTGAAGTCCCTTAGTCTCCTCTCCATCAGGTACCTCTAAATTTTTACTGTGAATTGAAGAATTTTCTAGTTTAGAATATATTAAGAGCCCAGTGACTAATCTTAGTTCAAACAAAAACTTCCTATGTGTTCATGTCAGGAATACTCTAATTTTTGGTATTTTAACTTTCTATTTTAAGTCCCTACTGCCTATTGGCTAAATTCCTATCTTTATACAGTATTGTCCAAAATGAACATATTTGTTTATAGCTCCTAAAATTAGAGTGATACCAAAAAAAGTAATGATAGCTACTTTTGTATGAGTTTTAGGGAAAAAAACTGATGGTAGACATTGACTTTTAGTTCTGTCAGTTCATGATTTTGAAATATATATATATTTAAATTCCTTTAATAATTCCATTTAAGAATGTAATTTATTCAGATTGAGTCATATTATGGTACTTACTATGAGTTTCTTCCCAAAATGTTGACTTAAAACCCTAAAAGGAAAAAAGGAAATGGTTGATCCAGCACATATGGTGCTGTGATTTCTGGGACTAGCACGTCAGTTCCTGGCTGGGCATGTATTTAGTTCTGCTCCATTAGGATCTGGGCTGTGCTTTCTGGACTCCACCCTCTTTTTTCAAAAAAAAATTTTTCCCCTCAAATGGAATTTATGAAAAAGTAGGTTACAGGGCTAATAGTAAACAAATGTGTGTGATACCACATTTCACACGTAAAACAGCATTTGCTCCATTTCAGAATAAGCTTCTGTAGATTGAACATAAAGGCTGTTTTCATTTTCTGTTTCAAGATACACTTTTGGCAGTGTGCATAATCACAGTAAAGGTGTGTTTTAATCCTTTTTATGGCCAAGGAGTCAGTGGCTGCTGCTATGAGGTCGGTATTTAAGTTCCATGAACTGTGAGGGACAGGAATAACAGGGAGAAGGTCAAGTGTTCCATTCCTGCCCACAGAGTGAATGGGCTATTTCACGGAGCCTTTCCACCGACCTGCCCTCAGGAAGAAACCATAGGCAGGAAGGGTGAGGGTGATGAGGGGTGGGTGACATGGCGGGCGCCCTCAAGACCAGCACATCAATTCAGCAGTTGCCCACACAGGCGCGTACTTCTGTTCAGACAACACGCCTCTCAGTGATGCACATTATCTGAGACTGTAGAAACAAAGTTCATGACTGTCTGGGGAAAAAAAAAATGTGAACACCTTGATTCTACTTTCAATCACTCTGACTGATTTAAGCAAAATTATTTTTAGACTTTCTTTTTTGAAGTAGGTTTGACTCACCAAGAATAGAAAGCTTGGTTTTCAAATAATTGAAGTGGTTTGTTTTTCATCTCCAACCAGGAGTTATTTATGGGTATAAAATAGATGTGAAAGTAACTCAGATTACTTCAGTATCTTAAATAACTGAATGATACAAAGTAACATATTAATTATATGATTATGTTCTTGGTCATGTGAAGGCTTCCTTTGTGAAAACCTCTGGTTTGTTTCCTGTTGAGCTTTAGGAGAACTTAACTGTGGGAAAAATAAAGTCAGTGTCGTTTAGGATGTAGAGTATCTTGATAACTTAATGTGGTGGAACTGTGAGTGCTGGAGGGTTGTGTCCCCTCACTGTCATGTGTATCCAGCAGGCTTTTCTGTTGGAGGTGCCTAGAATCACATGGTGCTCGGGGACTTACAGGTTATGTACCTATATCCCTATACTTAAAACCTTATGAGGTTATATCCTTACAGGAGATCCTGTTCCCCACTACCCACCATGGTTATTTTAAGCAGTGTTTTTCATGGTGGGCTTCATGCTCCTCAGGAGTTGGTTTATCTGGGACATTGTGGGGATGGGACGTGACAAGTTATATTTGCCTTTGGAAAGACCCCTGGCATCTGTGAAGAAGATCCAAAGGAGAATGAGCTGGGAGTCAAGAGATAAGAGCTTGTGGGGAACAAGGAGGAGGGACTCCTCTAAAAGGTCCAACTGAGAGGTCTGAATGTGTTGGAGGAGGGGGACCTCCAGTGGACAGATTATTGGGTGAACTATGCTCACATGTCAGTTCCCACATGCCTTCTCTCCTGGGCAGGGAAGGGCTCACACATTTGTTGCCTAAGGAAACAGGATGAGTAAGGGCCACATAAGTTATGGCACCACACAAGGAAATGAGTCTTTGTCACTGGTATGACACGTTGGCAGAGTGTCAGCGCCTCACAACTAGCTGGCTGTCAGCCAAGAGCTGGGAATAGAGAATACAGGGTAAGCTCACTTCTAGACATGTTGAATATAAGGTGCCTATGGGACATCCAGGTATACATGTCCAGGAGGGGATTGAATTTCTGAGTGTGAAGATGAAGGGAAAGACCAGACTGACCATCTGAGTGAGATGTCTTAACGTGTTTCTAAAACCGGGTTGGTAGTCATTTGTATACAGTGGTAACTGAAGCCATATTCTCCTCATTCTTTTTCCTCATATCTGCGAGTCTCAATTTTAATTCTTTGTCATCTACAGCCTTTCAGTTCACCCAAAGAATTACTTTTTATATATCCACTGAGCTGTGAGATGATCTGCCCAGCACATTTTGTTGTCTGGTATGGTTTCGTGGTCATTCCAAATGATTCTGTTTCTCCCAGTTTCTTAGTATCAGACCCATTTTGTTCCTGAAGCTAAGTTGGCAGAGGGAGACTCTTGTTCACCTTTGTCAGAGTTTAGTAGCAGAGATGAGGGCACTGCCATGAACTGCAGGAGGTGTGTTTCTCTCACACACACACACACACACACACGCACACAAAAGGTGTGGTTCTCTTGGCTGCTTTTTGGAGTAAGTCTCCTTTGTTAAGGAATATCATGTGATGAATCTGTCATGTGACTAATTGTTGCAGAGAATTGGTGTAGTCCCAGGAGGTACAGGGCAGAGCACTGTCCCTGTTTCATGCACGCATGCAAATTTCCATGGCATTAATATTTCCTAGAATGGTACAAGAACTAATATAAGAAAAAGAAAATAACCTTTATCTTTCATGCCTGACAGATAATGAGATTACTCTGGAGATTAGATAAAAATAAGCCATTTGTTCCTGTAGTTAGTTACTATAATGGCCATGATAATCTTTTGTAAGAGAATTTAAAAATGAAACCAGATAAACAGGATTCAGTTAGGGAATGAGTACATATAGAAAGAACAATGTGAATTAGAAGACAAAATCGACATTCTTTTGATGAGCAATGGGTAGAGTTAAGTTTGCTGTCAGCCACATGCCTCCCAAACACGGTGAGCATGTGGGGCACAGGGCCTGGTGCTTCCAGGCTCTGAGGGCAGTGCTTCACTCCACTCTTTTACTTAATGTCTTTCCAGACCACACAGTGGCTTTCCCCCCTAACATACCTGGTTTTGTTTGCAGGCCATGTCCTCATTTCCCCCTAACATACCTGGTTTTGTTTGCAGGCCATGTCCTCATAGAGATCTCAAATACACACAAGAAACTCAATGAGAGTCTTGATGAAAATGTATGTAAACTTTTTTTATTTACAAAATGTATTTTCTATTTTTAACTTTTATTTTAAAGTCTCATCTGATGTGAATTTTTTTGTTTCCTTTTGTTAACAGTTCAAAAAATTTCATAAAGAAATTATACATGAGCTGGAGAAGAAGACAGAGCTTGATGTCAAGTATATGAACGTGAGTACATGGTCTTGCTGATCTGGTGGAAGGAGGCCGGTGTGGGGTTGGGGTCCTGGCTTTCCAGGAGGCTGTGTGTGCCTGATCTCTGAGCCTGAGAACTTGCCCCACTATTCATACAAGGATGCATAAAGCTGGCAAGGTCCCTTCAGGCTGAGTGGGCCCATTTTCTGTACCACTTGGGATCTTAATAAAAAGCATAGAGAAAAACATTGCAAGGAATCGGACCGCTTCTGGAGAGCATTGTTTTCAAAGAATATGCATATGTGAGTGACATCTGCGCCTGTGTGTTAGTGCAGCTGCTGCTTTCCTGAACCAGCGCTTTGGGATGTGAGATGCATGTGGGAGGGTGCCATCCGGGGCTTGTGGGACCACCCGTCATGGCCACTCCTGCCTGCTTGGTCTGTCTTGTCTGTCACCCAGTGGTGCTGACTCCAGCAGGTTGCTCCTACCTGGCCCTCCAGCCCCAGTACACAGGTTCTTTCCATCTCCTCTGGCTGCAGCAGGGCAGCTGCTTTCTTGGTCACCCCAAATCCCCTTTTGCTCACCTAGACTCCCATGTGGCAGTAAGTGGTGCAGGTTACCACTGCCCCTGTGTCCACAATCTCTCTGTACCCTGGAGGGAGGCCACAGGGCCACCAATACCTGTTGAGGGGATGTAACGCCTAGCAGTTTTCCATTTGTTATCTGATTTTCATCCCTACAGAAACTCTGTAATGTAGGCACTCTTATTATGCTCACTGTGCAGACGAGAGGGAAATCATGGGTTTTAGAGAAGTTAAGTAATTGCTGAGGTCACACAGGAAATGAGGGATGAAGCCAGAATTCTAACCCTAGTCTGTTAATCTCCAAAACTTTCTGCTACCCAGCATCCAAAATGATCAGCAGTCATTGCACTTGTTTGTTCTGGTTATTAAAAATCTTTAAGTCATAAAACAGGCAGAAACATCTGATTTAATATTGTTTATTACTCGAAGGGGGCAGTGTGAGGGGTGTGTGGGGAGCGAGGGCAAACGGGGACATTAAAGGTAAGGAAGGGGGTGTGTGAGGGGCATGCAGGGCCACCTCCATGGCTGGTGCTATGTTAACACAAGGAGCTGCCTGACAGCTTGTGCACTGCTGCAGTAAATAAGCACAACATTTAACTTACAGGCAACTCTCAAAAGATACCAAACAGAACACAAGAATAAATTAGATTCTTTGGAGAAATCTCAAGCTGAGTTGAAGAAGATCAGGAGGAAAAGTCAAGGAGGTCGAAACGCACTCAAGTATGAGCACAAAGAAATTGAGGTGAACTTTTCAGCACTATTTTATTTTGTTGTTGATGATTTGTACAGTTTACAGAGCCGCCTACCTCAGTCAACCTATACTTCCTTCTGTGTTGCTACTGAAGTTAAAAGCAAACATTTTGACCTGGTATGAGCTGAAAGCTGCAGTTTTCCAGAGTTAAAAATAATCAGTGGCCTCCTAAAAACATTGGCATTTTCTCCTGACTCGGGGAGAGTGAGGGACACGCCATGATTAGCATTACTATCCCCATTTTACAGATGGTGAAAATGAGGCTTGGGTGGCATGTGGAACTGGGGTTTGAACTTGAACTTGCCAGTTCCAAAGCCCTTGATTTTCCGATAGAACATGATTCATATCCCTGGAGTGTAATGTAGTATTTTGTGTAAATTACCCAGCAGAATGTAAGGCTTTCGGCAGCTTCTCTCTGCACGAGTCAGGAATCTTGAGAACAATACTACCTGTTCAGGTCAAGTTGCAGCTTTGTGATTTTATCTAATGTTGATCTGTATTGAGTTTACTTAATTATCGAGATAAACCAGGGGTAAAGATGGCAGAAGATAAATGTCAGCCTGTGAGGCATTTTGATTTCCTCATGTCATGCTTCTGTAATTATTATTTTATTTTCCTAGTATGTAGAAACTGTTACTTCTCGCCAGAGTGAAATCCAGAAATTCATTGCAGATGGTTGCAAAGAAGCACTGCTTGAAGAGAAGAGGCGTTTCTGCTTTCTGGTTGACAAACACTGTAGCTTTGCAAACCACATACATTTTTATCATTTACAGGTGGGTTTCCAATGACAAATTGTGTTGCATACATTAATTTCAAAGTATCGAAATGCCTTTCAAATGCTTCACCTTCCATGTATGCCCAATATAAAGCAATGGGCCTATTTTACCAATGAGAAGATTCCAAAGAAATAGTTTTTGGTCAACTTGAATATGTAGACTTTTAGAAATGTGAATAAAATGGTCAACTGTGTATAAGATAAATTCTAACCGAAATAAGCAGACAACAAAGGGCCAGGCAGTTTATTTGAGCGCAATCCCGGGTGAGGTTCACCAGTGTGCGTAAATACAGGCTGGAGAAGTCACCACTAACCAGATAGGCGGGGAGTTTTTATAAGCACAGGGAGGGGAGGGGGAAGTGGGCCATGCCAGGGGTATGTGGGGAATTTTTTATTGGCTCGGTGTTGGGTGATGGACAGCCAGAGGTCTCCTCCTTCCGGATGGAGGGGGTCTGCATCCGGATTTTGTCCGCATGTCGGGACTGGAATCCAGGAAGAGCTGTCCATTCCTTCCTTATATGGCACAGAGCTATTTGGTGCTGTCTTTGTTCCATTGCACTGTCCTCGCTTTCCTCCCTCCGGCACCTCCAGCCTGTTGCTGCACAAGTACTGGCCCCTCCCTACTGAGCCTCCTCTGGCCGTCAACCAGCCTTAAAACCGCCCCCACGACGCCCCTTGTCCGCTGGAAGTAGCCAGAAGCCAGAAGCCAGATCGAGTCATCACCCATTATGACCAAAGGCTGGAATGTAAGGCTGGAGGCACCAGAGGGAGGAAAGCGAGGACAGTGCAAATGGAACAAAGACAGCACCAAATAGCTCTGTGCCATATAAGGAAGGAATGTACAGCTCTTCCTGGATTCTAGTCCTGTGACATGCCGACAAAACCCGGATGCAGACTCCCTCCATCCGGAAGGAGGAGACCTCTGGCTGTCCGTCACCCGACACCGAGCCAATAAAAAATTCCCCACATACCCCTGGCACGGCCCACTTTCCCCTCCCTTCCCTGTGCTTATAAAAACTCCCCGCCTATCTGGTTAGTGGTGACTTCTCCAGCCTGTATTTACGCACACTGGTAAACCTCGCCCAGGATGGCACCAAATAACTGCCTGTCCCTTTGTTGCCTCTCGTCACCTGCTTATTTTGGTTAGAATTTATCTTACATTTGGTGCTGAAGAAACCTGGGAAGGGGTGTGAGCGCGGGGCCCCAACCAGCCATCGGTGGCCCTGCCCCCTTTCCTTCCCCGACCCAGGACCTCAGCCTGCTCTCTGCTGCGTGGACTGTTTTCCAGTGAGTTCCTCACTTTCCCCTGGTCTGTTTCCCTTCCTAACTCCATTTTCACCTGGTCCATCCAAAATCGTAGCTACGTCCAGGTTGGGGCATCCAGCCCATCCACTGCGGACATCCAGGATACCTGCCCCTGGCCCTGCGGTGTGGGAGACGTCCCTCACCCAGGCTCCCAGGCTGTCCCCACTGACTTGGCGCACTTGGGACACTGGGCGCTCCTCTCAGCTGGATTAGTTGGGGAGTGGCACACACATGGGGAACCAGCCCTCGAAGGCAGAGGCTAAGACCCCGCTGTGGTGTCTCATTTCTAATTTGGCTACTCTATATTTGTACCAGGAAAGTCACAAATGGAAGCTAGTCTTCCTTTGCTCTCAGGCCTGGCCTCAGTATCCCTTGGACAACCAATCTCGCTGGCCCCCTGAGGGAACTTTCGATTTTGGCCTCCTTACCGACTTGACTAATTACTGCCACCAGAGCGGAGAGTGGGGTGAAATCCCATATGTGCAGGCTTTTTGGACATTGCACTCCTGCCCAGACATTTACGTTAAGTGTTCAGTGACTCAGGTTCTCCTGGTCCGATATCCAGTTAAGGATTGTCAGCCTCTTACTCTGCCCAGTCCTTCTTCCTTTTCAGATCCGCCGGAGAACCTTGGTCTCCCACCTCTCTCAGCTCACTACCCCCACCCCTCTCCGCCACCATCTCTAAGTTCTTTGTCCTCCCCCGTGTTGCCGCCATCTTAAAGTCCTACATTCTCAACCATGCCATCATCCTGCTCCTCTCCTCTTCCAGTGGCTGCACCACCCCCTCCCCTTCTCCTTCCGCCTTCACTGCCCTCTTCCCCCACCGGAACACACTCCTCCTGCCCTCCAGTTCTGGAAGCCACAGACAAGACTCCTCCCAGTACAGACCTGCCTCCTTTCTCTCCCGACCCTACACCCCTCCCCACACCCGCCATTTTGTAAGTGGTCTGGCATGGTTGTTGGGAGTGGGTGAGCTAGGTGTAGCAAGTGAACATCTTAGCGATTGTGTATTGCAGTGTGTGTGCCTGCCTGCAGCCTGAAAATTTTTGTGGTGACCTAGAATCTTAAAGTTTTGCTAAGTTAAGTAGACATATTTTGTGCTTAGAGATTATGCTGTAAAGCACATGGTGTCAGGAATTATAAAATGTGTTCATGTATTTGTTAATCTAAAGAATGCTAGTGCAATAGCCCACTTCTCAGTGTTCACTAAAATTTAAAGTGCCTAATAGTTTTGAGGTCTAATTAAAGCTATTTAAAGAAAACATCTCTACTTGCTAAAAGGATGTGTGTTTTAATAAGAGAAAGTATAAAGGATGGAAGTTCATTTTGTTGAGGGCAAAAGAAGGTAATTGTTCTAAAGTACAGCTATTAATTTAAAGAGGGAGAACACAATGTAAAAGGAAGTTGTAGAAAGTTTGTGGAAGAATTGATATGGTCATGCTATATAAAATTAAAGCAGAAGAGTCACAATATCAACTAAACAGAAAAACTAGAATGTATCTTACACTGTGTGCTTATAGTATTTAGAAATATCCACATTTAAAATATTGCATAAAAGAATGCTTAATAATTGAGAAGAGGCACTTTTTCCCTTTTGTCACCTGTGAGTCAGCCTTTCCCAGACTCTCTAATGCATGCTGAGCATCAGCGTCCTCACCAGCAGCTCCCAGGTCCACCCCAGTTGGGTGGTTTGAGATGTTCATCTTGGGGGTCCCTTGTAGAGGTGTCCCTGGGAAGTCTGTCCCCACCCCCACCCATCCACAGTGTCAGGAGACAGCTGGTCATGGTCACTCATTCCTTACTCTCCAAGGTGTGTCTTCAGGATCTCATCTTGAATGACTGCTTGCTGCCCTCCTTCCAGCACATGGAGTAGAGAGGTTATAGCCCCAGGAATCATTACAAATAATATATTACATTTCCTTTACTCTTTATAAGTTCTCTTGGGCCTGCGTCAGTGTCTGAAGCTAGCATTGAAGTCAAATATTCGTTGGCAAATCGCTGAGAGAGTGCTCTGTGATAGACGCTTTGTAGGCACTTGAATACGTGGCAACTGCATCTTCTTTTCAGTGGGGGGAAACAAACCTGGCCTTGTATGTATGCATATGTAATATGTTACATATTCTATAAGGTTTTTACAACTTTAAGGAGTACTGAACTACCATATCTAAATACCTAAGATGTAAAGTGTAACAGGAAAGAATTGCTGTATTAGATGATCACTCTTGTCAACAAGTGCACCTGTACTGGTTTCAGCAGTGTCTGTTTCCATGGTCAGGGCATCCTGCTGGGCAGGTTCATAGGCCAGAGGGACCCAAGTGACCTTTAATCTTTCTGGTGATGCTCTGCCAGTGATTGCAGTACTCGCTGTGTCACAAGGGAACCTGGCCTGTTTCCAGAGAGGTCTAGTTGTTGACAGCCCTTCTTACACTTAACCTTGGGTCCCACTTACGCTTCTTAGCATAAACCAAATATCATTCGTTCTATACCAGAAGTCTCTTCAACTCTCTGAAAACTCCTTTGGTGCCTTCCCTTATCCTGGCTAAACTGTCCCAGGCTTTTTGGTGTCTCCTGGAAGAAGCACAGGCCCAAGCAATTCGTTCTCAGGGTCACAGTCGGAACTCGAGTGGTTTGGGAGAAGGGCTTTCTTTGCCTTCCCTCAGGAGTGGGAGGGAGAAAGCAGTGACTGGCATTTCTGGGGCCAGTCGGGGCATTAGTACAGTTGCACAATCCTTCCCTTTTAGTTTTTGAACTTGTTCTTAATCAGTTACAATTCTTATATTAGTCTTAAACTCTATATTCACATTGAAGGAGAGGGTGAATTCCTGTAGGACGGGAGTGTACATCTTTCTCAGCAAATACTTCAACTACTCGCTGAATTTAACACAAAGCTCCCACACTTCTGGTAGCCAGTAACACGTTATCACTGGTCGTATTTGATGTAATTTTTGCCAGCTCTTTGAGTAGTATGTTTGTCTTTATTTTGTTTCATTTTCACTTACAGTCTGCAGAATTGCTTAATTCCAAATTGCCTAAGTGGCAGGAAACCTGTGGTGACGCCACCAAAGTCCCAGAGAAAGTCATGAATATGATAGAAGAAATAAAGACCCCAATCTCCACCCCGCTGTCTGGCACGCCTCAGCCTTCACCCGTGACTGAGAGAAGCAGTGTGGTAGGAGCTCGTCCTTTCTTTGGTTTCATTTGTGTGCTTACTCATGACCCTGGCCGCTTGTGCATGAAGGGCCAGGCTGCCTTTGTTAGTGAAAGTCGCAGGTTCCCCTTTATTACTTGCAGGGCCTACCTTTTCTCACTTTTATCCCCTCACCTTCAGATTTTAAACTAGCTGTGCAGATGTTCTGTTCAATGTTTAGCACCGTTATGTGTGTTTTGGAAATGTTGCTGTTACTGTTTTTAATCATGATGATGACAACTTTGTAAGTTTATTCCCAGTGGAGTACAGGTGCCTTAGAAAATAAATGAGCAAAACACTGATGCTGTTCGTCACCATATAAGGTGCTTCAGAAGAAAGTAGTCATAAAAGTGTGCATTGCAGTTAGCTCTTCTGTGAACCCGGACTTTATTACTCTTCACAAACCTGTGTGGATATTTGGGTCCAGTGGAAATGGGTCCACCCTACCTCTCCATGCAGAACCCTCTGACATGACATTAGAGATATTGGAGGCGAACCAACAACCTACAAGACAGACCCTTAACTGCACAGGAAAATATGAGAAGGTGCCTTCAGTGGGCCGGACACACTGAAGGGGAGTCTAAGAGAGACAAAAGCCAGGTCAGCATTGGAGACCAGAATGGAAGGAAACCTCAGCCCCAACCATGTGCAGGATAAGATTGCTGTAGAGGGTAGAGCAGTGAGCTCAGGGACAGTGGAAACAAGAATCAGGAAGGAACCTGGGTACACATGTGGCTGGTTAGGGAACAAATTCAGACCATCTCACATTTAGACTGGAGAGGTAGGGCACACTCCTGGAAGTGGCTTCCCTCTCCCCTACCTCACCATGGGTTGTCTGTGAAAATGAGAACAGGTGAAGTACAGGCCACCACAGGCAACAAAAGGAACAGATACTGCCATGCAATACAAAGATGGACGGACAAGCAACCAGGAATCCCTGAAGAGGTGAGGAGAACCACTATCATAAAAAGACACCACATAAAAAAACTGGAATGACCAGTATTGGAGGTACCAGAGCCAACCGAGCAGAGGAGAAACCTTTAGGAAGTGATGAGTGGATATTATGTCCACAGGGAGGACTCAACTAGAGATCTTGGAAACTAAAAATTGGGTTATTTTTAGTTAAAATGTTACATCTGGGATTTGCTTCAGAATAGTCCAGGCATGGGGAAGCCAGATGGGACATACATGAAACAAGATTGGCCATGAAGTTGCTGAAGCTGGGTGTTGGGTACATGGAGGTTTATTGTGCTATTCTCTGTACTTTTATACACGTTTGGAATTTTTCTAAAACAAGTTCTTTTTTTTTCCTAATTCCTCCCTCCCTGCTCCAAAGGGGGGGAAAAACCAACACACTAATAGATGGACTCATTAGCAGGATGGAAATGCTTGGAAAAACTGAGCTGAAGACCACCCCCAAAGCACTATAAAACAGAGAGGGCAAACACATGTTGGCGGTTGAGACATGGGAGAGATACCAGTATCCCACTCAACCTCACTGCCCGAATGTCTAATGGGAATCCCAAAGTCAACCTGTCCAAATGACTGATTTTTCCACTCTTCAGCCTGCTTCTCCATCTCCCCCACCCAGTAAACAGCATCTTCATCCTTCTAGGAGCTCAGACACAAAGCGTCAAGTTTTTCTCCTACTCCACAACTGATCCATGGAGCATGCCCTGTTGTCTCCACCCTCAGAGTGGCCCAAGCCCAAGCCCTTCACACCCCTCCACCACTCTAACTATGGTCCCTGCAGAGATTACTACAGAAGATTCTGCCTGGTCTAACCCAGCAGCCAGAGTGATCCTGGATGAATGGAAAAGACAAAACCCGGATATATTGAGGTCGAGTTGCAGAAAGGGATAAAGAGAATATTCTAAAAACTTCCAGAGAAGGGAAAAAAAATAGATTGCTTATGAAGAATTCCATTGATACCAGATTTCTTGTTAACGAAACAAGATGTTAGAAACACGGAGCAATGCACTCAAAATTCTGTCAGAAATTATTTTAAATGTAGAATCTTATAGCCAAGTAGCACTTAGGAGGGAGCCTACAATCCTTAGAGACATAAAGTATATTAGTGGTTGCCAGAGAGTGTTGGGAAATGGGGAGTAATGGGTTAAAAAAAAAAAGTAAAGGCAAAAATGAAGAGGTGATATTCTTGAAATAATAATTCAAAATGGGATATTCCCCTATAACTAAGAGAACTTTGGGAAGAAAGTAGAATTTAAAGTGTGTAGTACACAACAGCCCTGGGATTCTCTGTCATTCCATTGCTGTGCTAATAGTGTTAAACTAATATTAAACTAATCAGGAATTTTTCACAGGTTAGACAAGATTTTGACACCCTTTCTAAATATTCGCCAAAGATGCCCCCAGCTCCTTCAGCCAAAGCATATACCAGTCCTTTGATTGATATGTTTAATAACCCAGTGACAGTTGCACAGAACTCAGAAAGGATAACTAATTCAACAGGTAAGATATTTAGTTTGATTTCTTTTTAAATTCCTTTTTAAGTTCGTTAAATATTTTGGATAAATATATTGTGAAATAGAGGTGAATAAACATGTGGTAGTAGATATTCATCATTGGCTTGAAGGAACTTACACCTCATGACAAAGGTCTGGGTTTATTATAAAACCATAGGACATTTTATAAGCAAGACATTTCTTTGACATGCACTAATTCTGTATACTGATTGCTGTTTATGTAAACATACTATCGAAAGGTTTTATATTTTAAAATGAGTTCTACAGAGTGCCTCACACTTGCACATTTGCTGGCAACTGTAATAAAATTTCTTTTTCAGTAAAACAAACTGAAAGTTTATGTGACAATATTATGGTTATTAATCTTATCAGTAGGCTTAGTCTGAATTATAATCAGTATTTCTCTAATGGAGTCCCTCATGCTTTCTGGAGGCTTCAGTCCTAACTGCTTAAATTTCTTAATCAATTTATTGGTTGTATTTCAATAAATCCAGACCAGTTATTGTTCGCAGATATTTCCAGGTAGCATTGTTTAGGCACCACTCTGCCTATACAAAGTCTGGTACCCAGGACCCCTGGAGACTGTGGTGGAGCCTGACCCCTGTCTCTGTGTAGAGTGTCTCACAGGCTGCTTTGATATGAAAGTCATGGCAATGAAGCTGTGTGCGAGAGAGCCCCATGGGCTGTAGAGTTTGCAGCTGTTTGGGAAGAGATGAGATTTTCAAAATGGAAACTGGGAACATAGTAGTCTGCAGTCATTTGCCTTTGAAGGAAGGACTGTAAGTTGTATGTAATATGAAGTTAAAATATATAATGCTGGGGGCAGCCCAGTCATTCAAATGATTCTTTGATTCTTGTTGGTGAAATAAAAGCAGAAATTGCTAGTGGATTGAGTACGACCAAGGTAATTAGAGAGCGGTGTGTTAAGGAGAGAGCAAAGTTTATATTGTAATTGTTAAGAACTTGCAAGAATAAAGCCAGAGGTCTTGCATTGTTTTAACATAAATGGTAACAACCAGCGTATATTTGAGTTGAAGCAGGAAATGCCCAATCTAGAGCTTCCACAGTGCCAGATGGGCTATGGAGCCAGGCCACCCACATCTGGTTCCTGGCTCTGTCACATGCCAGCTGTGGCCCCTGGCCTGTCACTGTGGATGATAGCAGCACCTTCCTCAGGATCTGTGAGGCACTGAGAGCATATTCTGGCACACTCTCACCACACCCCTAGCACGCTTACGGGTGAGAAGCTGAACAGTGTGGCAGCAGCAATGGCTGCATTTCCAGTTTTCTCCTTTTTGCAGCCCACGTCCTGGGAAGTTGGGTTTGAGTCGATGCCTCATGCTGCCTTTGTAATTCGTACTGTGAAAGCAGAAGGAAAAACCTCCAACCATTTGGTGGTGGAGCAGTTTTCTGCTCTAAGAGAGCCATCTAGATTAAATCAGACTACAGAGGATGCTCAGTGTACACTGCTTTATCTTCAATCTAGAGAAGAGCCTGTGGCCACAGGGGTCCTCCTCATTGAGAGCCCCAGGGCCATGGGCCTGCCTCTCTTCCCACAGTCCCTCTCATCCAGGCAGAGATAAAGGTGTGGAAAATACACATGGTGGGAATCATGTCAGTAGAATGCGGGCACTGGTGAGGTGGGGATGGCTGGGTTTCTGGGGTTTGCATGTTCAAACTTGCCTGATTATCCTTCTGTGAAAAGCCATCACTGCTGTCGTTGGTAACAGATCCTTCAGATGACCCCAGTTTACAGCGCTCGGTTTCTGTTGCAACTGGCCTGAACATGATGAAAAAACAGAAAGTGAAAACCATTTTTCCGCACACCGCTGGCACTAATAAGACCTTACTCAGCTTCGCACAGGGAGATGTCATCACATTGCTCATCTCTGAAGAGAAAGACGGCTGGCTTTATGGAGAGCACGACAACAGCAGAGTGTAAGGTTTAGAGCGGGTGCCGTTGGCATAGGAGCCGGAACAGCCTAGCGCTTCAGAGAGCTGCTGTCTCTCCTTTAAGCAGCAAATCGTCTTTGCAGATTTATTAGCCAGAGTTAAGTTCATAGTTATAGTTTAGTTATAGTTATAGTTTAGTTATAGTTTAGTTAACTGGAGTTATTCCATCTCTGGCCATTTCTGTATTACATGTATATATAGGTGAATTTGATGCATGAACAGATTATTAGATCATAGGAAGTCACCTCTGAAAGTAGGCTTACACATTCTTTTGTATTTTTTTAAAAAGGTGACATTGAATTTCTCAAGGATAATCTGCATATCAGATAGACTTTAAGATTTAGCACATAAATAGTGTGAATGCCAGCATCATCACATCAACCGTGTGTGTGCAGGCCTTACTATATAGGTAGATTAAACTGGTTCTGTGCAGATTATTTAGCTGTTCAGTAAAAACCAATATGGAAAGAAAAGACAGGGGAATCCAAATGAAATTATTGCTTTATATAAAATTCACATTGTGTAATGTGGGGAAAATGGACTGGTCTCCCCCAGCTTACAACCAGGTCATTGCTTAGCATGTTTGTCGTTTACCTGTCTACTGCTAATACCACAACTGGGACTTCTTTCTCACCTGTAGGAGGGGTTGGTTCCCGGCGTCATATACAAAATTGCTAGAAGAAAATGCGAAGGAGACACTGAGTGTGCCCACAGCCAGGTAGGACTTGAGAGTGGCTCAAATTTCCCAGTGACAGAAAACTGGCCTTGGACCTAATGCTCTCAAGTATATCAGAATTATGTCTACATATGTGACAACCACTTCGGGGAAACCTCAGGCCCTGTGGAACAGTAAGAAAGGGAGATGGCTACTCCAAGCTTGTGTCCTTGGTGGCTTCTCTTGTTCACAGGCTTCCCTGCCTATCTGCTGTGAAGACACACATCCCAGACCCTGCTCCTCACCCCGTGCAGCCACCCTCACTGTCCCCTACTGCCCACAGGGTGCTGAATCCAAGGCTCCCAATCACCCTCTTGATCTTAGCCTCTAACATTGGGGAGCATTTTCTTTCCTGCCTTGGGTTCTCAGCTCCACGCTGCCTCTGTTCCCTTCCCTGCCACCTCACTAGCCATCCCTGTCTGGTCTGCTTCCAGGCCTCTCTTCTGTCCTCTGCTTAAGCACTGTCCTCAGGATCCCTCCACAACCCTTTGCCTTTTCTGTCCTTGCCTGGGCCATGTTGTATAGCCTGTGGCCTGTGTTACGCCCATGGGCTTCACTTAGCACCTCCGTGCCAGCAGCCCCCAGATCTGTATTCCGATCCAGTGATGATCACTTAGAAACTGATGAGCTCATCTGGTTCTGTTGATAACCTTGTGACATAGGTCCCACCTTAAAACTGAGGAAACTGAGGCACAGGGAGGTTTAATAACATGCTTGAGGACATGCAGCTGAAGTGGTGGAGGCAAGACAAGCCCAGGCAGGTCTCTCCCAGGCTGTGACATGAATATTTATGTGTATTAGGCAGCCGTAGTGAGCCATCCCACAGGTCCTCAGAAGTGACGTTTTTGAGCTGAATCATGATTACCCAAAACTGCCTCACCCTCAGAAATTCCCGTCTCAAGCCCTCCTAACCCACCCTGCTGTCCTGGCAGCCTGTGCTCACCACCCTGGATGCTCCCCAAGTCCTTCCATGGTATTTACCAGTGTCACCGACATATTTCGTGGCCCAGTGGTGGTTTAGCAAAACTGCTATTGGTCCAAGAAATAAAATTAAGTCTTGTTTTTACAGTGTTAAAATCAAGGGTTTGGTTTTTTCTTAATCTGAAGTGCTCAGTGCTTTTGCTACAGTCTCCATTTTCCTATTGATCTTAAATTAATTGAGGACCAGCCCCTAATTAAGCCAGTTTTCCTCTCCTTTTCTTTTGTCATGTCTTTTAAAGAATTTAAGTGTACGTTTATAAACCAGTGAGAACATTACGGTGTTTCACACCCACCAAATGTTGTGTGTTGCAGTCTCCTCCTCCCTCCCTCCCCTTTTCAGTTACTAAGCTATCATAGTCTGGTCCATAGGACACTTTGGGCATTTGGGATTCAGGGGGCAGGACCACATCTGACCTGTTCTCCGATCATTGGTTGTTAGCCCAGCACCGGTGAGAAGTATCAGCACAGTGGACTTATGTGGGAAAAGCGCTGTCGCCATCCCTCCACCCGATTACTTGGAGTGTCTGTCCATGCGAGCGGCTGCAGATAACAGAGCAGATGTTTCCAAAAGTACTACTACCTTTAAAGCGCTGGCATCCAAACCAGAAGCCACATCTCCCGTGAGTAGCGCTGCCACAGTACATCCTGTGCACCCATCCTGAACGGCGGTCTCGGGTTGCAGGCTGCCCTTGGGCGCTTCCTCCTCTCTCTTGAGTTTCCTTCTCTGTCACACAGCCAGCCTTTCAGCTTCCTAACCTCAACCCTCCCTGTGTTTTAACTTTATCTGTAAGGGACGGTTTACTCGCACGAAGTTCACAGGTTTCCAGATTGCGTCAGGTTATACTCTCGCTTTGTCATGGCTGCAGTGCCTAAAGCATTTAATCTCCTGCATTTTCCTCAGTTTTCATATCATATTCTGAAGGAAGGAGTAAGGTTGGAAGTGGTAACTGCATCTTCATGTCTTTACATTGTCAGGAAGTGTTCACGTTGTGCTGGGTGCACTGTACACAGTGCATGTATGTTCTCTCTCATCCTAAACAGCCTCAAAAGAAAGACAGTAGAGGACATGGGCTCCGAAAGTCACTTCATTCACTCCTTCGTTGGCTGTGTCTACTGAGTGCCAGGCCTGGGCAGGGCTCTGGAGATGCGGAGATGAGCCAGGCCAGTTCCCGACTCTGTCAGAATTTATGATCTAGTGATAGGAAACAGATATTAGGACATAGACAAGAATACCACTGATTGAAGCTATGCAGAGAATTAAAACAAGGTGAGGTAACAGAGGGATGCAGTGACAACTTGGATGGATGTCACAGGTTGGGTTTCCTGGGAAACACACTGAGATTAGCAGGCAGGCTGCACCCTGGCAGTCACACCAGTGAAAGCCAAGGGAGAGAGCAGCACTGGGCGGAGGGAGGAGCTGGGCTGTGGTGCCTCCACCAGAACATCTGGGCTGAGTCGGCCCTTTCTGCTGTCTGGATTTGGGGTGAGAGAGCCAGGTCTTTACAGCCGCATCCAGGGGCAAGATCTTTTGTTGGGGTGGTTGCTGAAGAGCATTGACAACCAAGCCACCTGCCAGCAGTGCTCCCTGCAGCCTGGAGCCAGCGCTCAGGCCTTGGGGTTTGAGGGGCACAGGACAGTGTTTCACAGGGCTTCCCTGAGGCAGTGACAGTGACCTCCAAGCTGACCTGAATGGCAGGGAGGGCCCCCTGCAGGCGTCAAGGGGAGGAGCTATCCAAGCAGAGGGAGCAGAAAGTTTAAACCACCCCCAGGAGGGCATGGCACGCTGCTGAAGGAAACGAGAAAAAAGGCCATGATTCCAGGGTGAGGGAGTCGAGAAGGGGTGCTTGTTTTTATTTGTTTCTCAATATACACTACACAGTAGAGGAGGAGGAGGAAAGGATGAAGAGAGGTGATGGAGAAGGCAAGAGCATAGTGGAGGAGCCGCCGGGTGGCAGCAGGGACATGGGTCCACTGCAAGAGGGAAGGATGCATGCCTAGGTGAACCTGGGCATGCAGATTGCTAGTCGCTGTTTGCCAACGTATAGCTTCTCAGTGAGGAAGATCATCAGACAGGCTGGGCAGACTAGTGAGCAAGTGTAAAGAGAATCTGAAAAGTAAGTGTTGGTGTTTCTTCAGCAACATGGAGCTGCTATGGTTCAGACAAGATGGAATTAAATAGGGGTTGCCAGGGTGGAGGTGCTGGAAAGAAGGGAGTGACAGGTGTTGGCAAGGGTGGGGTTGTGGTGTCCCAGACCCTGGAATTCAAGCTGGGTAAGGAGGCAGGTGGGGGCATAAATGTGATGGCAAATGGGAAAGGAGCAGGCAGGTGGCGTGGCTGCCCTGAGAGGCTGCCTGGTGGCTGTAGTGCAGGGAACGGGAGGGAACCTGGTGGGGAGTGGGAGAGCAGCTGCAGGCAACCCCAAAGCCTGCCAGGCCTGTGCTGCTACCACTCACCCCCAGAAATATTCCCCATGTGCTGTTGGCTGTCCACCTGCAGTTGGTGCAATAAACCCATCTCACTGTTTGTTTTTTAATTATCTGGTGGTCCTTTCTGTGGTGTCAAAATCCCCTAATTGCTACCGGCAGGGCATGTGTGGCTCCATGGCTGTGCCCCCATAGTCACCACTGGTGGCCTTGGTTCAGCTGTGAATGGCACATGGTGGATTACCTGAAGTGGGAACCCTCCTAAAAATGTGCCCTGCATTTTAGTGAGCCGTGAGGTGTTCTGGAACATGCCTGCCCTGTCATAGGCTACAATGGCGTGTTTAATCAAGGAAATGCAAGTTTTTGAAATCTTCAAAAATATCTTTGTCTAGCTTCTCTACTTAGAAATACATGCTGCACAATATATTTATACCTCTATTATTCCAAATTACACCCCAACAAAAGATCTCGCCCCCTGGATGCAGCTGTAAAGGCGTGGCTCCCTCACCCCAAATTACACATGTGCCTTCCCACGTGGACACACGGCTACTGAAAATGGAGCTTTGGCATCCTGTCTGCACGAAGGTGGCTGTCAAGAGGGGGAATTGCTTGGAAGGGCGAAGATATCACATGATATTTCACTAAAGGCCCTGGTACATTTAAAACAACATTCAAACCATTTGGAAATGGTCTTAGGCCATTTCTGACAGCATTAAACTTCCTTTATCAATTCCTTTACCAATCTTGTTTCATCTCACCCCCACCAACCCAGATCAAATTGAAGCTGATGCCATACTTACCATTTCATCTGTAAATATCCTAAAGGTCCTTTTTTAAAAATAGGACCTCAATACCAGTTATCATACCTTTAAAAATTGACAGTAATTCCTGAGTATCATCAAACTTCTGATTCATTAAAAATTTCTTGCCAGTGTAGTTGTTTGAATCTGGACCCAGGTCAGCTACTTACCACCTAATTGGTCACTAAGTCTCAAGATGAGTCTTTTGTATCTACAGGCCTTCCCTGTCTCTTTTTCCTATAATTTATCTGTAGAAGAACCAGGCTGTAGTCCTGGAGCGTGTCCCCAGGCTGGACTTTGCTGTTGGCATCCACATGGTGTCCTTCACCACATTCCCCTTTTTCCATATTTCTGGCCCTTAACAGAGTGTATATTATTGTTGTGTTTGCCCATTGCTGGAGCATCTCATCAGCAGCAGTGGCCAGTCTCTGGAGGCACATATACCTGGTTGTCTCTCTTTCCTATGATATTAGCAGCCATTGATGGTCACCACCTACCTCCATTACTTTATTAAGGTTGTATTAATGCCTTTTAAGATCAAAGAATATTGAGCAAAAATCAATGTTACACTAGAATTCATAGATGAAAACACACTTTAGCCAATATGGACAGTCCCCAATTTTAAAAATAACATTTAATTTCCAGTATTTTTATCTTGTGGATAAAGCTGGGTGAAGGAAGCCACTCACGCAGTTCTTAACTACACTGAATTGGATAAATTGGAAAATCCTGTTTTTAAATATTAGTGTAATCAATAATGATACTCATTATTTAACATTTGGCATTTATATGAGATATAACTTTATTTTTAAACTTCTTTGTTGGCTGCATCATAACAGCCTGTCACTATAATGAGTCTTCCCTGAAACATGCTGAGACTGTCTGGTAGAATGAGGGCTGCAGACAATGCCCTGACTGTGCCTCGTTCCCCCCTTGTGGAGCAGCAGAGCTTTCGGCACGTGACTTCCTGCCGAAGGCCTGGTGGGGCAGCAGGAGGGCAACCTGGTTCTCTGTGGCCGCTGCCTTCCCACCTTGATCCCAGGTGCATGTGTCCTCAGCTCGCTCTCCACTCAGGCCCTGCACCAAGTCCGTCCTATCCCGGGTCTGCCTCCAGGCAGAGCACCACATACCCTCTCCCCCGCAACAAAGCCCTGGACCTGGTGGCCTCACTGGAAGATGCTACCAAACATTTAAAGGACTAATACCAACTCATTCTGTGGGGCCAGCATCTCTGGTCAGACACCCCCTTCATCCTGCAGGAGAGAGGGCTTTTTTTCATTTTGCAAGTGTTAAGGAACGTTGATGGATTTTTTTCTTACAAGATCACTAAAACCTTCCATAAAAAGGCATATTTAGCATTTCAAACAGGTATAGAGCCAATACTTAAAGTGAGGTCACATGTATAACTTTGGCAACTAATATTTCTATGGCATTAGACTACTGTGACCTGCCAGCTGCTTTTAAAAACAGTCCAGTGGTGTGTGAAGGCACACTGTGTGGAAGGCATCTGTGGATGATGACAAGACCTTCGCATTGGAATTCCGAGTGTTTACTCATGAGCTTACTGTGCTCGGGGCCCTGTGGCAGGCCCTAGGGAAACAGGAATAGGACCAAGCTAGGAGCCTGAGTGCTGTGAGCAGCGTGTCTCCTGGTCTGTGTAAAAAGGTGCCAGGGTGAAGAGGTGATGGGGGATGGGGGGAGTTGGTGCTGTCAGAGGCAGCTTCTTGGAGGCATCCATTTGAGTCCAAGCACCTGGGGGGAGACGGGCCAGGAGGTGTGGCCTGCATGTCGTCCTTCCTCCATCCTCTGGTGGCTGCAGGCTACCCTGAGGGTGTGTGCTGGTCTGGGAGACAGGTAGGAGGCGTGGGGTCGCCCAGGGCGGAGAGGACAGGGCAGTGGAGATGGGACAGGTGACAGGAGTTATTTAAGAAGTACTGACAGATTCCAAGGTGATCTGGCATTGCCTGCATGGGGCAATTGGGAGCAGGTCTGATTTACTCATGTTCATATGTTTTGGAGCCTTTAAAAAACTATGTAATTTTCATCACTAGGTCTTTAACATGCCAATGTTAAAAAGGAAAAACATTCTTACCTGAAATTAAGTTACACGCTTCACTTCTAGGAGACAAATACAATTGTTTTGGAGGTCCTGAATAATTAAAAAGAACCAGGGTCCTGTAAGTATGACTGTTATAAAGGCAAAGTTCCTTAGTTTTTAAAAGTACCTATGATTTGAGAGAGACCCCTCTTCCCACCTCTGATAAAAACATAAAAGTTGTCTTTTGTAGGGTGTTTATATATTTTATAATTTGACTATGGTAGTAACAAAAAAAGAAATGGATTCATGGTGAAAATTTTGTCGAAAATTCTACAAATAATTGAATTGATAAACTATC